CACATGCTGTGACAGCCGCTTTCTGTCCGTGTGCTTCGGATGTGTGCACTCAGAAAACCGCATATCAGAAGTTTAAACTCGTATGGTTTAAAACGCATGATTTCAGCGCGATAAACATGATAATCAGAACCAAAACTGATGTTTTTTAGCAGGTACGAGGTGTAATGGTGCAGCTCTATTCTGGAAAAGGGGGCGGAGAGCAGCAGCTCATTTGCATTTAAAGAAACAGGCCCGAAAAACAGCGTGTTTCTGCTTCCACTCAAAATAGGCATTTTCAAAATGATATAATAAATGATCTGTGGAGTATTTTGAGCTGAAACTTCAGACACATTCTGGGGACACCAGAGACTTATATTACATATTGTAAAAAGGGGCATAATATGTCTCCTTTAAATTACTATACCCAACAAATCAGCTATTGGGAAAAAAAGGAGCACTTTACAGAGCACTTAAAAACATTTCCTTAATGCCAGGGGTGTCAAACTCATTTTAGGTTGAGGGTTGGATCGAAGAAAATGTCCCCTTATGCAGCCTGAATTACCTTTTGTTAAACCGCAGTTTGCTCACAATTAAATTAATACTAACTACAGTATAATTTACAATAATTTTTTTTTTTTAGATGATGTTAGCTCATTTTATGTTTAGAGTGTGCGATACCAAAATAAATAATTAAATAAATAAAAGATCTCTCTATATTTTTAGGGAATTTGTTGATAACAATTAGACAGTATTTTACAGTGTGTTTTTGAGCTAGTACCGTGGTTGGTTTAGGCCTGTCATAACCGCCAGGCAGTGGCAATCTCTGTCTTAATGAGTGATTAATTGACTCACATTAAAAAAGATTCATTCATAAGAGTTTATTCATTTGGTAACAAAACAACTGTCTTTATGATTGGTCCATTTGTTCAAAAACAGATTCATTTAGCAACAAAACACTACAGTGTTGCTCAGAGATGTTCTGGCTTTGTTTAAAACTATTTTTGCTGGCAAAACAGAAAAAAACAAACAAACAATATTGGCTCTAAAATATAACTCATTTAATACTGACATCTTGTTTGCTGAACTTTTGTATAAAATCAATTAATTTGCGAGTGCACTGATATTCTGGAAAATGGCACTCTTACAGCACATTTTTGCCTCCATATCATATGTTGAATTATTACGGGCTTCATCCTGCAGTGAATGCTTAATGTTACACTGTCAGATATGCAAAAGAAATCTATCGTATCTCTTGCTCTGGCTACTGTTTATAGACCACCAGGGCCATATACAGATTTCCTAAAAGAATTTGCAGATTTCCTAACAACAATCATGATATTGTTGCAGACAATAAATATTGCACACCCCTAGCTCATTTTCTTGTCCAAAGCTGTCTGGTGTATCTCTTAAGTCTGGTGCATCTCAAATAAATGAGCAATTTGTTCCACTTTAAATGAAAAATATAATATTGTAGCGAATAAACTTATTTAATTTTCAAAATAATGTTTTATTTATTTTATATGGAAAATGTTGTGGACTGTATTCAGCCCACATGTTTTATGTTTGACACCCCTATGTTTACACAAAAACTGTGTGTGTGTGTGTTACATTATCAGATACAGATAAAAAATAAATACCCACACAAGCACAAAATACATGATCAAATAAATACCATATTACATAGCCGCGGGAAC